ATGCTAAAGCCCAAAGTCACAGATCATAGAACCATAGAATCATCAAATATCAGGTTTGGAAGGGACCTCAGGAGGTCATTTAGTCCAACCCCCTGCTCAGAGCAGGGCCATCCCCAACTAGATCATCCCAGCCAAAGCTTTGTCTAGCCAGGTCTTAAAAACCTCTAAGGATGGAGAGTCCTCTCTGGGTAACCTATTCCAGTGTTTTAGTACCCTTTCTGGTCAGTTAATTTATTCTCAAGCCTCTTAATTGGTAGGCAAATATTGTTATCTTCCTAGAAGGGGGATATCACTTCCCTACATATTGATGTACAGGAGTATTGCTCTGGTTTCCTCATGTACTGTGCACTAGAATGGAAAGGGGAGGAATATCTTTTCTCACAGACCACCAAGAGTCACTGGAAGCAAAGCAAATATTCTTGTTTCTTTTCAGCACTGGGCACTGAGTTTCCTTTTGGTCAGTGGCATCCCCATTCCCAGCTCTAAACTGCAGAGTAGTGTGTTGCCTAGACAACTGAAACGCCTACACATTGCTATTTATTCTGAAAGATGTTTTATCTTATCTGCAATCATGAAACCCAGGGAAAATTGGTTGTCACATAACATCCCCTTCTACACAGTGATAGGGCTTCACATGCCAGTCCCAAGTGCCACATCTTGAGGGCGGATGATAGCCAGTTGTGATTTTTGCCTGGCCATCAGGATGTCCTTTAGAATAAAGCTCCCTGACCTCACATCACTCAAAGGTATTTTAAAATAGAAGCTAACAGGGATACACACATTGGGATGGGGTCAAATGCCAGGCAGCCAGCTATTGCCACAGCAGCAGTGCCTGTAAAATGCTCAGCATCCACCTGATATCTGAGGATATGGTCCCTGCCTTTTGTGCATGTATTTCAAGGGCCTGCTTGCATCTAAGGAATGAGTCAGAGGGCTTCTCCCCATGGCATGAGCACTCTGTACTTGTTGATTTGAATCAGCATGTGTTAATTCCTGTGAAACATCCTCAAAAGTGGCTACGGACCATTTGGGGGTGTTCTGAGCTGTGTCCCTATCTATACACCGGTACTCCTTTTCATTGGGTTAGTACCAACATGTCTGCAGGCAGTACCAGTGGCTGCAGTGCTCAATGTGCCTGCATTTTTGGCCGCACTGGGTGCTCTCTAACTGTATTCAGCCACATTCCCATCAGCAGGGAGGCAGAGCCAGCTTACAGCATGCTTGGATACAGTATAGAGATGAATAATGCTGAACTTGGGGGTTGTATTGGTGCTAGTTGCTTGGGGACTTTTTCTAACGTTACTAAAATAGAATAACAACAAGATATAATGCCAGATCCTCGGTTAGTTTAGATCAACACAATTCCATTGAAGTCTATGTAGTTGTCCTGATTTACATTATGTGAGATTCCAGCCCTCTTACTTTAGCTTGATAATATCACAAGTGAACAAGGGAAGGAGGAGTACAACAACCCTCCACATTCCTGTAGGATGTGAATCCAAAACCACTGGTGGGCTTGGTTTTGTCATTGGGAAGATCAAATACAACAGCTGAGGTTTGGCCACAAGCAAATTATGGCTAGTCTGAGCTTACTTCCTATCATTCAGAGGCTATTAATAAAAATGCATCATTTGCATCCTGTTTCCATCTTGAGAAGCAGCCAAAGAGTGAGTGCGTGTGGCATGAGAATGTATTGCTCAAGATGGATACACTGTCAGAGGGTGCACTGCATCTTTCTTTTCCTGCAAGGAAAATTTTCAAATTGTATTACAGGGTTAGACAAAAACTGAAATTGAGTCTGACATGCCATTAGAATGACAGCAGGGCTATGAATATTATTAAGGTGAATCTGTATTTAATGTTCTCATTGAAAAACCAAACTCCTGACTTCAGTCCAGCAGAGAGTGGATGTTACCTACCGAGCCATCGGCATGCAGCATATAGAAAATGTCCTTTGTGCAGGAACACAATTACTTTCACATAGTAGGAACAGTAGATCCATGATTCCAAAATGTAGCAGGGGACCCTGCTGTGGATTTGACTCCCGAATACAAACTCTGATGAAAATCCCATTAAAAAACTGCAGCGAGTGAAACAACAGGTTTGAACTTTGCAAGGATAAACCAGCTGCTCTCATCTGCAGCCCCATTATGCCCTATCAAGACAGGACTTTAGGCATCTCATAGTTTTCAAGAAGAAGGCTACAAGCTGTCCTGAAGCCTTTAAGCCATGTTCTTGATAGAGCCTCTTGGAGCCTCATGAATCAGACTGCAATGTGGGAAGGAGACGATGGGATTCCTTTGGCGCACTTCACCAAGCAACCATCAAATAATAACCACTGGGATCACTCTTGACTTGGACCTGAGTCAAACCAAGAACACTGCAAAACCATCCAGTTACCCACAGGGAAGGGAGATGTAACACAGAAGCTCCCATATGTTCTTCCTTTCATACTATGCCATAGCTGCTCTTACCATGCCTTCCCCGCCTCCATTCCCTACCCATTCTCCTCGTCCTCAGATCCATGCTCCTCCTAGTCACTGCTCTGCCTATCCCTGTCCAACCACTCTCATCGTGCCCTTTCCTCTGCTTTCCCATCAGTGCTAACTTGGAGCACCCACAATCAGCTCCATGCTTCCCTCCCCATCACCCTTAGGCATGGAGACTTATTAAACCTATCTGTAATGTCACACTTCCTTTCCCTCTTCTTATGTGAGTCCTACAAGAAATTAGCTGGCCAAGGATGGTTAAAGGAGAAGAAATGGTTTTATTTATTTCAACACAAATAATTATTAGGATGAGTTGGACTTTGCAGTGGCTGAGCTATGGGATTCAGCATCTCATTTTTGTTACCCTAGTTCCTTGTTCTCCATCTTTGCAATTTCATTGGTAACATTTGGTGGAACAACTTTTCACTTGGTTTGTGAGCTCTTTGGGGCTGAGAACGCATCTTTTTCACATAGTGACTTTGAAATCCCAGTGGAACCTCATGTTGTGCGGTAGTATTAGTCCGACCTTCCAAACCATTTGTGCTCTAATACTTTGACCCATCAGATGATGCTACACTGTATCAGATATTGTTTTGTTTTCTTAATCAGAATGGAAAGTCTGTCTTAAATTTTCAGTGGAGCGAACAGTAGAACAACAGGTCTTCAAAGGGGTAACAGGCTTATCTTTCACCTTTTGGTTAATGTGAAAAATCAAATGTGAACACAGTCAAGATTTGCAGTTATTTTTGAATTTCAGGGGCCAGGGTGGAAACACATCTTAGAGGGATGGAAATCTGAGAAATGGGAGGTATATTCCACATAGATGGTTAAAAACTGAGTTTTATTTGAGGAAAAAATCTAAAGCTGAATATTTTTCAAAACCAACATAATTTCTTTTTGTCTGAAATAGAGGGGGAATGGAGAAGAGTGAGGAAGGGAAGGGGGAAGGGAGGAGACATGGTAAATCATGACGGGTTATGGCTTTTTTGCAGTTTAGTTTTTGGGTCAAAAATTGGAAAATTTCAAAAGAAAACCAAACATACTTTTGGAAAAAAAAAAGGTTTGAATGAAACATTTCAATCATCTCTGAGGAAAAAGAGAAGGAAAATCTGACTCAAGGTAGGAAGGAGAGTCTTTGAACTGCAAATAAGTTGAGTCTCAGTGTCTGGGAGTGATTCTCCTTCCTCTCCTTTCCTTTACTCCTGTAAAAAGTGAGTATCCAGATTCTCATCTACCAGAAGAGGCTGGCAGGGTTTTTCATGTCCTTTGTTCAGGCATAAATGACCTCACAAACCACCATGCAAGGTAGGGTTAGGTCATTTATTCATTTAAAGCTTTCATTAATTCCTGCAGACTTCACTGAAAGCTTTCCTTGTTTAAAAGCTGAACAAAAACAGGGTTAAGGTGTTAGGATTTGGTTCCATGATCCTTAATAGAAGCAGATTAGTATCTCAGAATGATGCTGAGCTGATTTACAGGTAAGTGAAATGAGCATCAGCTTGACCAAGGAAAAAGGTAAACCCAAGAACTTTGCAAAATAGAAAGTAATTGAAAAAGAAACAATGATTCCAGCCAGAAAAAGACTAAGGATCTTAGAGCAAAATAAAAATGGCGTACGGTGATAATTCAGTGCAATTTACAGCCATTCATTTTATGTACAGAGAAAGACTAATTAAAGGTAAAGTGCACGGCATTGCTTTTCTTTTATTCCCTGTAATAGAACAGGCTCCTTAAAAAAAGCCATAGCACAAGGTGCTCTGCAGGAAGAAAAACTGTTATTTAATGATGCAATGTACAGCGTATCACATTGCTTAGCCATGCAGGTCAGGCCTGCACACCCGCTCTGGGAGTAGACGCTCTTTTTGAAGTGCAAGCGACCTGATTAATAGTAAGTGGGTTACACGTTCAGTGCTAGAGTACAGCTCCTCTCAGGCTGTACCTTACTGACTAACACATCTGCCTTCCACATACTTTCTTAAGAAAAAATTGTAGAACTGCTTAAAACTGCATGTCCCTGGCCTGTTTGGTGTGAACTCGGTTTAAGCCTCTGATCCTGCCAGCTCTGATCATTTGTGATGTACCATTGGCAGGCTGGAGTGTGCCCACTCTGCTGACCTGTCGCATTCACTTTCATTTAATAAAATGCTTTACAGCATACTAGATGTGCCGCATGGAAAGGAAACACAGACCCCTATTTTAGGCTCACTTAACCCCACAACTATGAGAAGGGAAAGACCTGCAAGGTTGACTTTCCTAGATACACTTGACAAGAGACAGAAGGATGTAAACAGGGATCGTTTAAAGAGGTGAAACTTGCTGTTGATAAGTTTGTTTAAAGTCCTGTTCATTTAAAGTCATAGAGAGGAACTTTGCTTGTTTGAATGGCAGGGGCTGCCTTGGGTTTTAGTTTGGTACTGCAGCCACAGTGAGGCTGGCAAATTGGATTGGTAATTTGAATGAAGACTGGTACATCTCCAGACTAACATCTTCCCTGTATCCATTATGTTTCCAAGACAATTTTGCCATGGCTGACAGAAAGGATTGGTATTCCTGGAGATCAGCATCCTGAGACTCTGAAGCAGCACCACATTTTGTTTCCTTTGGGTGATTTGCCTTACGGTTTCACTTCTGTGAGTTTGGGGTTGGGTTTAATTAAGCTGTAAAGGCAGATCAGCTTTGGGAGGCTGTGAGAATGCTGCATGCAGGGAAACTGGAACGTGAGTGAGAGTCATTTTATTAGAAGGATCCTTCAAGTTACAGGAAAAGTGCATTTGTTATACATAGATTCACTGTCCTGTGTCAGAGTTCAGCAGACTCTTGCTATTGACTTCTAATTTATCTCGTCTCCTTATTTCTGAGAGACATGGGGTTCAGATAAATAAGAAGGGACAGGAGAGAAAGGATATTTATTTGAATTAGGAAAATAGTTCTGTAAGGAAAACCAGCATTTGCTATGCAAAATTCAAAAGATATGCCTTTAAAGATAAACCACATATTTAAAGCTGAGGGTAAGAATCAATACAACTGCATTAATGAAGGCCTCTTGGACAACACTGCATATTGGCCATACAGGGAAAGAAGAGGGACCTGTTACTCTCTTGCAAAGGGTTATACTTCACAGCTACAGAGTGGACCCTAATCGTGTGTTTCATACAGGCAGACTCCTGCACACCTAAAAAGCATCCCTCAAGTGGTATCCCATGCAGGCTCAGGGATCAGAGCCATTGGGAATAGCTTTTAGTGGGTGAATTCAAACTGTTTCTGCCTCAAATATTTTCTTATAATTAAATCTCATTAACCCAAAAGTTTTCTTATGAAACTGGCCAGCCATGGAGATGCATCTCCTCTGTTTGACTTAGATATACATTCCGAAATAAAGAGCTTGAATACAGGCAGTGTATCTGTTATGCATGCTACTAGTTCATATCCAATTCAGTGAAGAATGCTGAGTTCAGGAATATACACACCTTGGCTGTACTCCTAAGGACTGTTCATAATAAGACTCATTCTCCATTTATTCAGAGCATGACAGTGTAACACCCCCTTGCCCCCCCTCCCCCAACTGGCTGTCGATTTTGGGGTGTCCCAGCTGAAAAACCTGGATTAGGGACTGTTAATTTGAATGAAGATGGGTACACCCCCAGACCAATATCTTTCCCAGATCCATGACAGTTTTGCTATGGCTAATGGCAAGGATTGGTATTTCTAGAGATCAGCATCCTGGGACTCTGCAGCATTCTGAAAAAAAGGGGCTGTAATATTTAGAAAGGGTAGCAGTATGTTCTTATGAAGCTACTAAGCTGACTTTCCCTGTATTTCTTCTGAACTGGTTATCAGATTTTTCTTCCCAGTTCAGGTGCTTCTGGCAGGTTGAGCTAATGGATGTACAAACCTTGTTTGCTAATCTGTCATGTAAAGCATTTTCTTTCTATTTTGCTAACACAGTTCAATGTTTGTCTGCAGGTCAGGTTGCCCAGTAGGAAGCCATGCTTGGATATTAATAGCCATGTTTCAACTAGCCATGGATTTCTCCACCTGTGAATCTGTAGCCCAAGGCCAAGGGTTTAGGCTCTGGCAGAGGCCATCTCACCGGCACAGATTGTCCCACAGTCCTTTGTGGAGTTTTAAAAATGGACAGCAGCTGCGGATTCTCAGTCCTTTCTGGAACCATGCTTCTTTTCATCCTGAATGGTCTGATCAGCAACTACAAACATATCATTCCAGAAGGCCACACAAAACCACAGACCAGTTTTCAGGCCTTCTTTCTAAAAGCCTGCAGTCTCAGCGCTCTACTGCAGCAAAATCAGCCCCTTCCATTGCAGATGGGAACAAGAGGAGTACAGAGCTGCAGACTCATTTGAAAAGGGGCAAAAGGCACCTCCGAGAAAGCAGTTTTGATCACAGAGACAGCAGGCCCACCACGCTGCCTGAAGTAATTATATGGGGTCCAACAGGAGATGAGGACTCCGTAGAAACCAGTACGTTCCCTGGGAATTATGGCACCACCACCACCACCACCACCGCCACTTTACAAACAAGAACAACTACTGTGGCAACCACCACTACTACTACCACTTCCACGACTGTACAGTCTAAAGGGTTCACAGCATCACCCAGGCCAGGGAGTAAAACACACAAGAACAACCCTGGTAGGATTAGCACAACGGAGCCTCATTCCATCCGCAATAGTGATGAGAGGGATGCTACAGCACCAAAAGACAATTCAGGTATTTTCTGTCTGTTTGTAGGGGTTTGTTTGGAACTCGTGACATGGGACAAGTCTGAGTGAAGATCATGTCGTGAAGGGCAGCAGTTTTTTTCTGTATGCTGTTCATCATTAATGAGATGCTCACATGGGCCAGTACCCCAGTGCTAAGAAGGTGCAGTGAGTGACTATGTCTTTACATTGTTTTTAAGTATTGAGGTAATTTTCAGACAGGGTAGTTGCATAGTTCTGGATAAAAGGCAAACTGGCCTAAATTATAGTCTTAAACTCAAATGAAACCTTCCTTAAGATTTTTAAATAATTTATTTAACTGCTTGTACATGCTTTAAAGTTAATTTTCACTGCTGGATTTTGGAGGGGAGCATTCTTGCGGTACTTCTGATCTGCCCAGCAAAAGAAAGTACTGGATGGAAGCTTTAAGAAAGAGTATCCTAATAAGGTTTGGAGCCTGGTTTGATGAACTTAAAAGTTTTGGGTGAAAGTATCCAAGCTTTGTGGGGTGGGAGGTTTTTTTTATCCCACTAAAGAGTTTTTGCTGCCCACTCATTCCTAGTCCCCTTCATATTTTACTAATCATACACCCTTGTATACTGTATAGCTGCTATATTTGTACTGCAGATTCAGACTCTGTATGGCATACAAATCTTCACCATCTCAGAAAAGTGCAGTAATAATCAGTGTATTTCTGTGGCATATTATTACTGGATGATCTGCAAATAGCATACATACCTTTTAGCTGTGGTGACTGCAGGGGGAAAAAAAGTGTTTCCCCCCCCCCACCCCCCATGTTCTTTACTTAATTTAGGTGTAGCTTTTTGTTGTACTGAAGCATTCAGCATTGTCTGCTAATGTTCATCTAATCATTGTTTTCTGCCTTGCAGTAGCATTTATTTCTCATGCAGACTGGACATGAAGGTTATTTTGGTACAATTTGATCTGGTAGACAGATAAGGAAATATACACAGTGCTTTGATGGAATAAGAGTCCTTTCTCTTCATGACTTCCCTTATTTGTTCTATACAGAAATGCATACAAGTGATTTTTTGTTTGAAAGGTATCCCTGGGTATCCACATGAATATGTCTTTGCAGAAGTGTTCGTGGCTTGTCTTTGTTGGCCATCTCTAGTGTTCTTTGTGAGCTTGGGAATAACAATAACATTGCTTGACTTGGGTGGCCAGATCTACCAACTTATAAATACTTTAATAGTTACACAAGCAAATCATGGGCTGTAATATTCCTTAAGCATATTGGTAAAAAGTGCACAAACAGGTAAGAGGCCATGGATAATTTATGAACAGAGAAAGGGGATAACTCCTTTATTAAATTGTTTATGGTGAATTGTTTACCCATAGCAATTAAGGGTTGTGAATTTGCAAACTTCACTGATGAGTTTGGTTCACGATGATGATCTTTTGTGAATGCTAGCCTGGGATCTCAGCAGCACGTACATTATATTACCTTAAAAATAAAACAACCCACATGCGCAGCCCTTTGCATTCATTCCCTGCCAGCACTAAGGGAGCTCCGCAGGGCTTCAGAGAATCGGCTCCTTGGTGCTGGGGTAGGATCAATCTTTCCAGTATGTGCTTCTTCAGCCTGACAAATTGCTGGTCTATGCATGGGGTTTGTTGCCTGTATGATAATATAAATACATTGCAGTGATAATAGTCAGCATCATCTTCCTCATCATGTATAACTAGTTTTTCCTTTGGGTAAGATTGCTGAGGAAAACTACAATGATTTTGGAGTTAGACATATGAGCACTCTGAAAATAAATGAGAATTGGATTAATCATTTTCATGTGCAGCATATGCTAGGGGCTTACAGGGAGTTTGCCAGTTATCTCTATAAATCTACACACCATCACCATAATCAGATTTAGGCCAGCACTCATTTATTGCAATATTTTGAACCAACACTATTTGGACATGGATGAGAAAGGAGTTTTCCATTTATTTCAAATTATATTTGTTATTATTAATGCTAAACTGTGGGACAATATGAAACTTGGCAAATTAATTTAGAGTGCATGGACTATTACTAGTTTAATGACAGGTGCTTCTTTAATAAAAAATTATAGATTTCATAATGTAATCTCAGTCTAGATTAATTTTTCCAGACAGCCCTCTGCAGGAAAAAAAAGGAATGTTGTTTCTAACTTCAAGAAGTTATTAATGTCAGTAAAGTCTCTCAGTCTATGCATCAGTTGAAATGTTAACATCAGCTGGCTCTGTTAGAGACAAAATATCAATCACAGTCTCCGGCATAAGAAATCTAATCAATTCACACTAAGACATCCGATGAAATGCTATAGCTTTTCCAAACCCATACTTGCTGATGTTGTCTGCAAAGCAGGTAGTGCCATCAAATCCTATTGTTATTAGCAGTCTTCACATCTGTAGCTAACTAAATTTCTACGCATGCATTTGAAATCAAATGGGCGCCTTTCCCACATATTTGTACTGAGTAAAGTTCTGTTTATTGCTGTGAATTAATTACAAATGGCATAACACTGTCAAAGGATTACAGAGCTTTGTTAGGATGTTGAGATATCAGAGGAATGAGTCAGAGGAGATTCTTCCTCACAGATGACATAGATTATTTGTCGAAAAAGTGACTCATGGTTCATTATCCCTGCCATGTCAGGGTTTGTTAACTACACTGCCAGTCACTGGTTTGGGATCCAGGACTTGACTTAGTATTATATTTATGGTGCCTAGGTCAGGAGCTTACATTTGACTTGTTGCATTCTCTTTTGGTCTTTGCATTAGTTATACAATGCTTTCTTACGATGCCTGGAAATTACTGTCTTGCATATGGTTTACTGAATATCTACAACATAATACTGCCACTTTGGTAATGATATCTGACAGGTTTAAGTCACTGTAAAGAAAATACAATAATATATTTCTGCTTGAAATATCAAGTGACCACTGTTAATTGTCATTTCACAAACTAGCCTTCAGCTGATTTCTTTCCTGCCTGCTAGGATAACAGGGAAATGATCTCAGTAAACCCACCGAAATACAGAACTTGAATATAGATGTGGGCTTGTTATTGTCCCTTGCCCCATTATATTATTTGCCCTACTCATGACATTTGTCAGTCTGCAAACTGCCTTCTGCAGAGCCATTCAGCTTTGAGTGTTCGCTCCTGTATTTGCTCTTATTAATGGGTGCATCTACACTTTCATTAATGTGATTTAGGTAATGTGCATTGAATCTAGTACCTCCACTGTGAAGTACGAGAAAAATGTGCATTAGCCTATTTTAATGTGCATTAGCTAAAGAGCACAGGGTTTTTGTGATGCTTAAATGTGCATTAAAATAGCCTAATGCACATGAAAACGCAAGTATAGATGTGCCCAATAAAGCCTACATTGATTTGAGCAGGGGCTCAAAATTGCATTGGTAATGAACAAACCTCACACAGTTCATTTGTAAGTGGTGCTGCCCACTATTAAACAACTGTTAGAGCAGGTCACTTGAAGCAGGACTCCAGGGTTCTGTTTCTAGCTCTGATACTAACTTAGAAATCATTGGACTACACCTTTATAAACATGCACTTTTTACCCTCCAGAGTTTAGGTCTCTGCCATGAATTAATTTGAGACTGGGACCTTTTAAGAAATCTCCAAAACTTATTGGTTTGGCCACTTAGCTATTTTGTGTGGTATTTTGATACTCCTACTCTTCTGGGTATTACAGTCCCCTTTTGGATCTCTCAGACTGAGCTCCCAGAATTTAAAGCACCCTATCTCATTACAAGGTTCGTTGGGCTTCTATTCTACCCAGGAGAGCACACCAACAAACTCTCCCTATACCAGAAGAAGGGTGTTTGTGCCCCAAATCTTGCAAAGAACAATCTTTTCAACTATTTGGTCTAATAAAAGATATCACATCTACCCAAAGAACCTGGTCTGCCTATGTCCTTAGACCAACAATCCTATCTCATTATACACTTTTGAAGATGTAGGTCTCAAGTGATAAGTTTTAGTAGACCAGGTAAATAGTTGGGGAAATTGCTCTTTACAAGCTTCTGGGAACAAATACCCCTCTTTAGGCATAGGGAGAGTCTGTTGGTATTTGAGTAGTCTTTTGGGTGGAATTCTCTTGGGTTCTCTTCTCTTCCACCCAGACTCTTAACTTCCTCCTTCAGCTGTGCAATTTATGCCCTGTTCTAATGGACATCACCTGTGAAAATGAAAGAGCAAAATCCAGAGCCTCAGCTGTCTATTCAGCATCTGAATCTGGGGTTATCATCTCAAGTACCCCTTGGACTGGGAGACTGCAGAAGCTAAGTGGTTCTTGAGGGCTCTGCAAGAGACACTGGGTTTGCAGAGCTTGTGCTGACATACTTTAGAAGTCCCTACCTGGCTCTGCATCCAGGTAGGTTGTGCCCAGGGACCAGACTTTCCAGCCAGCTTTGTCCAATCTCTCAATAATTTCCTCCCATCCCTACCCCAATTCCCCAAAGGCTTAAATTCAAGGAGTGTTTCAGAGGCACCTGGGAGTTGAGAACTCTCCAGCTGACTTTAATCTTTTAGCTCTTAACTCTCATTAGGGAGTGTTTCAGAATGATTAGAGTTTTCATTAATTAACCTCTTTTGCTGTATAAGTGAATACAATAAACCACTTTCAGTGGCTAAAGGACCTTTTTGATCTTAGCCTATCTACTCTAAATTGAATAAAGCCTAAACTGTGAATATGCCTTTGTTTTCTTTATCCATATTAAGCACACTGGCCACCTTAGAGACAATTTTTGGAAGCTTTCCACTCAGTTCTTACTCACCTCTAGGTTAAGTCCCTATGAAAGCTTGTAATTTTTTTTAATCAGAAAAAATCCCTTCTGTAGATACGCCATGGCTCCTGACTCAGCACTGGATCAACATACAGTGAAACATCGAGTCCAAGATTCTGCAAGGAAGGTGGAACAAAAATGTTTGTTGGAACCTGGCACATCCTAAGAAATGAAAGGGAAAAAGGTGTGTGTATACACACA